GCACCAGTTTGGATTCGTACTTAATGAGACCGTTTTAATGTTTTTCCTATTAATCCAGTTCACAGGCAACAATCCTCTATTTACATATAATATTAACAATAATAACAGTATACATAAAAATCGTTACGAGCGTCGTTACAGTAATGGGAACGGACTTGAATATTTCATATTTATGTGTTTGTAAGACATCTTTTACGAAGGATGATCCCGTTGATCACGGTTTTCTTCTTAGCAAACGCATTACTTACCCAAAATATTATAAATTGTAATTAGCAGAAAGAGCGGAAGTTCGTTTGTATTAAGATAAATTAGTATCATTTATTATAAAATTAATAAGCATGCTATTTGTATTGCAATTAAAGAATTAAGCCAATTCTCTGGAATTAGAATGGAACAAATTTAACGATATATTTTTATTAGTTAATCGTTTCATTAAACTTTCCTTTTTCAATTCGTTCCATTTACTACAAATTTATATCGTTTAATTTATAAAACATTCACACAATTAATGAACAAAGTTTAAAAAGTAATTTATTATACTCAACAATTTTATTAGAAATGTTAAATAAACAAATTCTAAGTTAATAAAAGTTGATTAAATGCTACTAATTCTATAATCTAAATATATTTTGCACTTTTTACTCTCAATAATTTTCTATATTGAGAATTATTTAAATTTTTTATTTAAATACAAAAACACAACAAAATACGGACTTCTTACGAAATAAATTTACATACATTAACGACTTGGTTATATAATCATTATGTATTGACATTCTTACTTTATTGTTGCCTTCAGCGAGGAGTGGTTTTATTAATAAAGTTTTGTTAGTTATTAGTGTTTCTTTTTTTAATCGTCGGCTAGAAATCACTGATTAATGAAAATATTATGCAAATATGTGTTGATTCCAAAGAAATTATATAATTTACACAAAAAAATAACCAGCACTTATTAATACAGAAATACCTCTTCCTGCTTCCATCAATGCGGATTTGCTATAGTAAATAGTTCAAAAATTTCAAAATAAACTTAATTCTACGTAATTAATTCTTCTCGTTTAGTCCGGTTTCAAACAGTGATTACCCGCAATATGCGAGCTATTGCTTATATACTTTTTTGCAGGAAAATATAACGATTACGATGAAAAGCACGTTTGTTCCGTGGAGATTATGAAATGTAGAGTACACCTATTGGACATCGTTCCGTGTAAAATTAGAAGAATAAAATTGCTGTAGATGAGAGAGCTGCGGTTACCATGGTTTGCTGGTGCGCGACATAAAGCCGTCATAACGTGGAATTAAAAATATTATTTCACTTGAACTCATCTCCGCGTTTTGCGTACACATTTTTCAAGGATTTTCCGCATATTGTTATCACAGCCTTATGATTGTTATTTCACAGCCTGGTGAACGCAGCGGAACACTTCCTATCTATTCCCATTAAAATATAAAAAAATAAAACATAAAATAAACACACACTGTAATAACACCATCGTCCGAGAAAAACAACAAACGATTACCACTAAACTCAACGCGATGAACAACTTGAGGTTTTATTGAACGAGATTTTATAGGTTTTCGATTACATGAAATTATCAATCTGTATTTAATCATAAGGAAATAGCACAATGTACAGTAACATTGACTAGGTGGAAATAAATAATAGTTTTTAGTCATTATTTATATTCTATAGAAAAATGTATAAAGATATGAAAGATATAACCGGGTTGGAAGTCTTAAGTTTGTTTTGTTCCAGAGAATTGTATGATTATAAAAAATACTCATTTATGCAATTAAATATATATTCATACACTAATATTCTCTATATAAAAACTGGAATACAAAGAAATTCCAGTAGTTATACAATGTGAAAGGTGAGTACATAATAATAAAATAGATATAAATAATGTTTCCTTATTTTAATTCATAGGAATTGTAAAAATAAGTTGATTGATGATCACGATTGTTCAAGTGTTTAAGTAATTAGAAGAGTATGTAAGAAAATTATACAAGTGAAAGTAAACATAAACTAAGTAATAAATAGTTTTGTCCAGTCATCAGTAACATTTCATTCTTTATCATAATTATAAACCTTCTTCTCTTTTATGCATTTTTTTTAAATAATTTCAAAAAGTATTATATCAACCAAAAAATAAACCATTTTTGTTTAATTTTTAGATGTTTTTGAATGATACAATTCAAGAAAATATATCAGTTTTTAGTATACAACTATGTTTTAACAATTATACGTAATTATAACTAAATTAACTAACATTTTATTAGCAATTAAGTTAATAAATATGTGTAATTTATAATAACAATTTTTCTCTTCAAATATTTTTTTTTAAAGAATTATAAAATGTACATAAATATAATTGAAGAAATAGGTAAGAAGATTCAATAATTATAATAATACAGAACTAAAGATTATATTCTAGTGAAACACTAATTTGTGAATGCTATTTTTGGTGTTGAGGTAATTAGGAATGTATGAAAGAAATCATTAAGAAAATTGTAAATACTTCTGTAGTAATTAATACATTAAGTTGTTTTCGAACGACATAAAATGTATATTCATTCATTTAACATGTTATCAAAGTGTGTTACATAATCGGAATTTACAGCAGGTTCACAAAATAAATCATCTAGTTAGGTTAGTTACATAACATTCATGCATGTAATATTTATACCGTTACAGCAACATCTAAAATAATTTAACACGTAGCGCGTTTAAAGTAGACTGAAATTACTTGTAAATTATCATATTTTTTGAATAATTAAACTCATTAGTTACTGATGTAAGAAATAGTGCATCTTATGGTCTGAAAAATGTAGTATTAACCACATGTAGTTTTGCCAAATTTTAATTGAGCAAAATAATAATAAAAATCAATTAGATTTGTATGCAAAATTGTTTCTAATCCTCGATTAGTCCGGTTTCAAACACTAATTACCGGCACTATGCGAGATATTGCTGGATTATATTTTTTTGATTCGTTGACTGCATCTCCACATTTTTCTATAAAAAAAAAATGGGCGGATATATACGACGCTCGTCCGAAAAGGATTAAAGTAAAGCTTCGCCGAAATTCTCAGACGTTTTTCTTACGTAAAAAGATGAGTGTTATGTTCCGAAATATAATACTTAAAAATATTATTTTAAACAATAATACAATTTTTAAAAATAAAAATAGAATATTTTGTAGAATTCAGTATGGTTTCCAGGTTATATTAATGCTATAAAAAGGTAATTAATTATATAACAATGGGAAACGGTTGAGCTTATTTCCGCCATTATACGCGATTCCAAGCGTGTCTGAAATTATATTTTATTAAAGGAGTATCACGAGAACAGCGTTCATTCTTTTGTAAATATTTATTGATCGTTGAGAACCCACCCATTTACAACCCATAAAAAAAATGAAGAAAACAATAATAACAGTTTTTTAATTAAAATTGTATGTCAACCCACCTATGAAATCTTGAATGACACAGTTTTTTTTTTATTAAAATTTACTACTTCTCCATAATAACTAATCACAACAATACAAAATATCGTTTTAGTACATATCATTACTAATTCTTCACCATTTCCTATCTGCACACTAAACATAATAGTAATTATCGATGACCTCAACCATAAACCTTCTTATCATGCACACAATGTAATGATTATGGGAATGTGTGTCATTGCAAAGAAGAAGGTAAAAACAATGACATTGGATTTACATAATGTATCCTCTTTAAAAACAAACCAATTGTTTGAAATCGCATTGACTTCGAGTAATTTAATAAATTTTCACGAAGATCGAGGAAACAAAACAAAACTGGAGAAGGAAACGGGTTTCTGAATAACATTTTTTTTTCTCATTTTCAATGACCTAGCGCATAAAGTACAATGAAAAACCAGTAGGTTTTACGTAAACAAACCGACTCTAAATAAGGACCTAGAAAGCAGACGTGGCAGAAACAACGCGAACGGATTTTAATTAATTTTAGTTTAATTGCGCCGTTTCGTATTTATTTCACTATTAAAAAATAATCGCTGACATAGCCTACTTAAAAAAATCTTCTAGTATAGTGTTTTTAATTGCGCAATTTGATTTTGCGCCAATTGATTGAAAGTAATATTGTAATTAAATTTGCGCAACAATTTTATAACTCACGACAAATTTAAACAATGTAAAATTTACATTAAACAAGGCGGATCGTGCATTGCCCGGGTGGCAACGCTCCTAGTTTTTAATCTCTTCAAGAATACACAAATATAATAGTTGTTTCCATTTATTTTTGTTAATTAAGAGAACAATGCTTAAGTCTAATTCCCGACGTTTAAAAAGTATAATTTATTAACGATGATTACGTATTCAAAGAACCGGTCGGATTAAGTTTATAAGAAAACAAACAAGGAAATAATGTTTATTGTAGATATTGCTGCAATAGCATTTACTCTATCCACTGTTGGAGAGTATAAGAAGAAAAGAAAACATGTGTTGATGCTTTGGTACAACGCATTTCGAGTGGCGAAGAGAGTTTATAATTTATCCGGCTATAGGCGGAGGAATGCTACAATGTTCATGTAACCTACACGTTGATTATAACGTATTTTACAGTTGGGTTTATTTCCTAGTTACGTAAAGCCCTAGTGGAAGTATCCTCATTAAAATATAATTACTTTTGCATGCGCAACGACACCGACCGATAAATAACCTGATCCTCTCCAACTCTCAGGAAAGTCGTTTTATATTCTTACTATTAAGTGCATTATATTGATTATCTCTTTGTCATAACCATTACCGTTTTTGGGATTAGCGCCGCCTTATAAGAGCGGAACGCATTCAAATGTGTGCGCGAATGATGTAACAACATGCACTTGCCACACCGGTTCCACCTAATCCCATTTAGATATTACTATACTCGATGAAAGATTAGACGGTTAAGCTACATTTTCATTTAGCTGCATAATTAAGCGTTCCGTGTTCTCCAATCGCCAAATTTGCATGCGCGATTAAATGAAATAGTAAGTAAACACTACTTGTATACACAAATTACAAAAATTTAGAAAGTGAAAATTCCAATCAAATTATTTATTTTAATTATTATCAAATGTATGGAATTTCCTTATTAATATTTGTTAATTTCACATTTATTAATTAATTATATTTGTTAATTACATGTAATAATAATGCTTACATCACTTTCTCAAAATTTTGTCAGCTATATTTCTTATTGTAAATGATGTACTCGCATAGTACGTCAATACCCCAAACTTTTTGAATCCGCACAAAACGAGACTTTACTAATTTTTTAATTTTTTTTTTAAATATAATAATAAAAAATATAATAAATAAAACTTAACATTGTTCGAAACCTATTGTATTTAACAAGACGCTGTCATCTCTATTTAAATATAAAATGTGACTAAGCTTCAATAATATGCCTTTAACTTGCATCAGTTAGTATGCAAATATTGTTCATATCCTCTAGTTAAAGTTAACCTCAACATTTGAATATGTAACCTTAACATGTAATGTAATTATGGACACCAGCCAACGCCCTTTAGTGCGTATTAGATTATCATTAAGCAAACTACTTGGGTTGATTTATACTTTAGTTGTTACATCTATGCTACAATCATAATTTTATAAACGAACAAAACCGGTTGTATGAAGAATGTTTAAAAATAACGACAATTGCCAATACCAGTCGTGTTTCTATTTGCTTACGCTTTCCTTAAGTCATAAATATTCATTATTTAAACAACATAGTTTTATGAATATCTCAATACTATTTGGACAATACAGAAATTACGCCTCGAATTGTGCGGGTAATTGATTCCGCCAATATCCCGTACTGTTTGAAATAATTATATCTTTTTTTAGAATTTAATTGCTCAAATTTTGAAACAGGACTGTTCGAAGCCGCGCTTACTTTATAAATTTGTAATTTGAAAATGATATTATTATTTCTTTTGAATGCTACAAATTTCTACAAGGTTTGTTAAATAATTTGCGGCTAAAACAAATATATACATACAATAAAAAAAATAATAAATTAACTTGATGATCTTATACTTTCTACGTCGTGGATTATATAAATACAATATAACGTGTTTTATGTTCTATTGAGATTAACATAGAATAAAGAAATAGTTTATAAGAAAAAATTTTGTTCGTTTGTGAGTTTTTTTTTTATAAAATGCAATTTAATTTGTAACTGCAATGTGTTATTAAATAAATTGTTTACAATAATTGCTACTTTTTTTTTATTACTTCCAATGCTTTCTAATAACCACTTGAATACACAACAAAACAATTATAAAACAATAAGTGATTTTCTAGAAAAAAATCATATTCTTATTCAAATTAAATTTAACATTTTTTGCAAATAAAATAATTTAATCGTTTTTTAACAATTATGAAAAAATGTATGTCAAAAATAAAGTTCAAAGAGTTTTAATTAAATATTTGTACACTAAAAAATGTACTTTAGTATAGACTTTAAAGAGGAAAAAAAGATTTTTTTTTGTTATGAAAATATCACGTTTTTACTCATTTTCTTCTATAGATTGATATTTATAAGCTTATTTATAATCCATTCTTGCACAACCTCTTCAGTCAATTAGAAAATTAGAGCATCATCATGTGAACTCTAATAAATCTATAACTATTTATAAATGCAACAGTAAATTAAAAGCAATACCTAGCATAGTCCAAGTAATCGCTTTTGCCAATATTCCGGACTGTTTGAGACCGGACTAATCGAGGATTATAATACCGCACCAGAGACTACAGTCAAATCTGGATATCAAGGACATAAAGTTATAAAATTGTGTCTTGTTTTTTGTTAATTTATATCATTTATTTTGAAATTTTCAAACTGGACTATGCGAAGCTATGATGAAAAAATACGAAAATCTAGTAGCTATGTGACAAACCTCATTTTCTTTGTTTATTTACATTCATGAAATTACTGTTATAGACTCTCATCTCACATTACACTACATATATTTTTTTTACGTTTTGCCGTTATGTAAGTTCATACATGTTCTCTACGCATAAATACAGTCATTACAGAAACTTACGGAACTTTAAATATATATGCGTTTTTATTCGTGAATTTCACATAAAAAAATAAATTATCATATACGGATGGAATAACTTAAGAAGTTATCTGCCAGAGTTGCCCAAATCGAGTTTATGTAATTTCAATAAATTGGGGAAATTGATTGGAACTTGGGGTTGGTTTGCATAATTTAGTTAGTGTTAATACCAAATTTCTACATTTGCATATAGGTGAAAATATTTCTTAGCCAAAGTTTCACCTTGTAACGATTTATGCAGCAGCGTACATAAAATGGAGCGAACATCCTGTTTCCTTTTCCTGAACACATTTATTTCAAATCGATTAAAAAATACCTTTCATTTTAAGAATTGAAATAATTCATACTTTAAATAAATCTATGTGGAGAAATTTGAAGATTTGTCTAAACAGCATTAAATCATTTGCATAGTTTATATAAAATAGAGTACTGTAATACCTCGCAAAGTCCGGATTCACTAGAAAAAATATAATAAATGATAAAAAAAACTATATAAAATATAATTTAATTGCGTTTTTTTGTATGAAAAACAGTGACCAATTATCATTTTTTGTATGTATTAGTCCGATTTCAAATAGTCCACGGTATTTACGAAACGAATTATCCGGACTGAGCGAGGTATTACAGTTTCTTTTAAGAATTCTAATTAAAAAATGTAACAACTTATTTTTAAATATATATATATATATATTAATATTTGACCAAAAAACTATTTTGTTTTTCTCAACAATATTAATATTAAGATAATTGTTTCAATTATTCCAATATTGGATTGCATATTGATAGTAGGAAATAATAGATAATGTTGAACTAGTAACAGACCTCACGTTTAGTGGATCAGCGAACCGCAAACTACAGTCGAATTTGCTGTTGCATTATGTATTATATGGTATATTCTGGAGGCTCGAAGCGATCCGGATATTTGCTGACAAAGTGGATGCTCACACTTCGTTAAATAAGAATCGAATCAAAAGAAACAGTAAACAAGTAAGGGCGCAAAAAAAAAATCAAAACTAACCCAATAACGTTATTCAATTCCAAAGTTTTGTAAAAGTATATAAACAAATTGACTATTGTTTATTACAAAAATGTGTAATAAGAACACAAGTACTACCTATGGGTTAAAATGACCCATTTATTAAATATTATAAATTATTAATTTTTACAACAAACACAAATTAATTCTTATTATTTATTTAATTCAACTTAATCTCATTCTATGATATGAGATTTTGGTATTTTTATTCACAGTATTTGTCTGTGTATCGGCATTACTGATTTTCTACGTTTTGGTACATGGAAAACCACTTTGAAATCCAAATATTGATGATATTTCAAGAACGTATTTGATGTAGACAGGTCACTTTGACCTCTCGAAACGACTGATTTGCACCTACTGAAAAATGCAATATAAAATACTACAATAGCTAAAAGGTCAATCAACAACAATTAAATTACAATAAAATACGACTGAAGACAAATATCAGGTGGGTCACTCTGACCCATCCTTACAACTTTCGGGTTAAGAAAGAAATGTTATGTAACTACTTCTACAAATTCTAAAATCAATGTGAATGCTAGGATGTACACAATCAACATTGAAATTACGAACAGGATTGAATTGTAAACAATTGCATAAGATTTAAATATACATGAAACGAAAACAAATAACATAGTGCATATTTGGATGCGCGCATATCTAATTAACTGCGTTACATAAACTACGGATGCGCCATTCGTGTAACTTATTATTTTTTTTTGGTTCTATTGCAGCCAAAGCAAAAGTTTTCTACAATTCTACTCTCGGCATAAAGAGAAGAGAAATTATCAATACCTGGTGTTTCTCTGAATCGATTCTTGCCTGCTTAACGAGCGGACAATGAATTTCTCTCCGACATCCGTTTCCTCGCAATCAAAATTCAGTCCATTAAGTCGTCTCGGATTGTTGGTAATCGAGTGTTTAAATGCTTGCTTCAACTCTTGTTGAAACTTCTGGCAATCTCGAAGTTTGTTGATATTTTGCGGTTTTCAACAATGCAATTACTGCATCGTATTAGATACACTTTACCTTTCCTATTTTCTCTGCAGTTCCGTTTACAATTCTCTGTCGTTAAAATAAATTGTTTTCGAAGCCAATTTCAATAATATTATTGAATGTAAATATAATTACATTGTAAATATTGAATGTATTAAAAAAAAAGACATTACTACGTCAATACTGAATTTTCTTATTACAGTATACTCTTGACAATAGTTATTATAAATTCGATATTGAAGATATATCAATTTATTACTAATCATTTAATTGTTTTTTAGTTCCTTTTTTATTGATTTTCTATAATATTTTATAAAAAGATTCATAATTTTCTTGAAAAATTAATTAGATCCATTTATTTGATAAATATTTAATCATATTTAATTGTAAATTATAGTCTTTTAAATCGTTAATTGAATATTTTTTTTTTGGAACATTTATAAAAATATGTTTTGGTTTGTTCAGAATGTATTTTCGTTATTTAAAATCAACAATTTAAACAATTTAAATCTTCACTTAACTTTATATCTTCTTCTATAGTATTATTACCATTTCGGCAATAAAAAAAACAAAGTATGCCGAATTTCCATTATAATGACATTATGATGTATATTCTAAACTTTAGAATTAAATTCCGAACAACCGAATAATATCATATAAATTTCATATACAATCAATAAGTCCTTTAACATTGATTCAATTTTGAAATAGCAATTCATTTAATATTTATTCCATAACTTATATTTACTTTGTCAACTATCCAAACCCTAATTCATATTTAATGGATTAGGATTCAGTCGGTTGTTCCCAGAGACAACTAAAGATAAATATGCGGTCGTTCGTAAACCTGTCTAACGTATTTGTTCAGGTTGGACGAATACAT